GGCTCTCTGCACCCTCTTCTCTGCGCCCCCTCTTTCCCTCCCCACGGCTCTCTGCACCCTCTTCTCTGCCCCCTCTTTCCCTCCACCACGGCTCTCTGCACCCTCTTCTCTGCGCCCCTTCTTTCCCTCCCCATGGCTCTCTGCACCCTCTTCTCTGCACCCCCTCTTTCCCTCCCCACTGCTCTCCCCCAGCTCCTTCTTCTCTCTGTGCTCCTGCTCCCTCCACCCCTTTCAAGATCCCTGGATGGTGCAACAGAAAGGTTGACAGTTCAAACCCACCCAGCGGCGCAGCAGAGGGAAGTCCTGATGATCTGCTTCCATTAAGATCACAGCCAAGAAAACCCTGTGGAGCACAGTTCTACTCTGTAACACATGGGGTCCCCATGGGTCAGAATCAACTCTGCGGTAACAGGTTTTCTGGTCCACCCCTTTCTCTGGCTGGAGTTGGCCTTAGCTGGAATGACCAACGGAGCCCACAGGCATGGCTGGGCTTACAAGCTCAATCCTCAGGATTCATCAAGACCTCACTGGTACAGCACCAGGCTGGTGGCTTAGGGGTACAGTAGAGAGAGGCCCCCCAGCTCTTTGAGAGCTCCCAAGTCTAAGAAGGAGAGAGGAGACATAGCAACATCAGGGCGAAACTGGAGAAGCTGAGAGAAAACGAGACCAACAAATATTCATAAATGGCGGCCTGCAACATCCTCTAACAGTTCTACATAAAAGACTCTGAATTAGGCTTCAAAATCAAAACATCCTCTCGGTTCTCTGTGCCTTCACCATTTCTGTGAGTTAGGTTAGATTCTCCTCTGGTTGGTGGTGTGGGGAGCGCGTGGGAAATGAGAACGAGGGGTAACCTGGGGACCCACCTTCTTTGTACATCATGTCAATCACTGTCACCCCTGGGTACAAGCTTCCATTTTCATCTCGGACAGGTACGATGAAACAGTGGAGCCCTAAGGACAGTGAGGAGACAGAGTGATTAAACTCTCCGAATTTCTGAAGAAGAAAGTTTTACTAATTTCTTGGAACAGCATAAAATTATTTTGTCCCTAAACCCACTCATTTATCTGACTGTGCACTGCATGTAACAGTGTTGACTGTTAAAATGTCCCAGTGAATTATATCACCGTGTTTATTTAGGAGATACAGTATCTAAGTACTGAATTTTTCTAAGATAAAAACAGCCCTATGAAATGAGGCTTCAGTGTAAAGTACTCATTGGCAAATAGTAACAGTAAAGAGAAGGATTCCAGTTGTCTGTGTTGGTGACAAACCTTGAGACCTTCCGTTTATGATGCGCTGGGCGAAGACCACAGCACAGTCCCCACGCATGGCATTGCCGATACACATCTTCTCCGCGTTTTCACACAAACTCCTGCACAGAACAGCAGAGCAATGGGCTATATCCTTTCATGGATCATTTCAACTCCTTGACTAAATGCAGTGAATACCGTGAAAACAGATGCACATGGTACAAGTCTACATATTCAGGTGGTTTCGCAAACTCCCAGCAAAGAAGACAACCGACAAGTCGTCTGGCTCAACCTCATGGAGTCGACACTGCTCCGCTACCTCAATTCATGAATGTCACCTCTGCCTCAACGTCGAAAATTAAAGTGCTTTTTAAATGAATAATCCAGTCAGGGAAATAAGCTGCCAATTTTCCATCAATAAAAGGTGCTCCCTCCTTTTCAGAGTCTCTTCTTTGTAATGTTGAGCTGACACGGTGTTATCTGGCTGAGCTTCCTGGTTTTGATGTATAAAGTCCTTCCTCAATTATTCACCTCTTTCTCTCTAGACTACTTCATACTGAGGTGTTTATACTTAGATGATCCAACACCAGTTAAAAAGTCATCAAGTCGACTCCCAACTCATGACAACCCCATGTGTGTCAGAATAGAACTGCGCTCCATAGAGTTTTCAATGGCTGATTCTTCAGAAGTAGATTTCCAGGCCTTTCTTCTGAGGAGCCTCTGGGTGGACTCAAACCTCCAACCTTTCAGTTAGCAACCGAGCATGTTAACCATTTGCACCACCCAGGGAAAGACAACCCAACATCAAGACACCTAAAATCCTTGGTGATGTAGTTTAAGCTCTCCACACACTCCTCACTCCCAAACACCCTGCCTGTAAAGTTCACAAGAAAGAATGAACAGTCAATGATCTGGGGCCCTAACTGGATTGCTCCAGAGCCCACCTCTATGTTTTTCATTTTGTTGTTGGTCTTCTCCCTTTCTGGACAAACCACTTGGTTCCACGGTTGACGCCTAGAACATCCCTGCCTCCATGACATGGGTCTGTTGTTTAAACATCAATAAACTAACCAGAGACTGGAATTTTATGACTGCATGCATCAAGGCTAACAGGTCACCATGACCCTGTGTTACCACTGCATGGAATATCAGCCCATACAACTTGGATTTCTATTTTAAAAAGGAAGAAAAAGAAAGAAAGAAAATTTATTGAAGCCCTTGGATGGCTGTTCCAGAATCTGCTTCTCCATTCTCCTCACCGATGAATATACTAATAAAGGGTTAAAAAAGGGGTTCATACATATACGCACTTAATCAAACGCACTTGTACAGGATTATCTAGCAAGAAAAAGAATCCCAAAAGGTGCCACTGTCTGTCTCTGTAAAATGACCAAGGATTCCAGCTCCAAACAGTCTAAAAACCAATGCTAGTGAGGAAGGAGCAGGAGGAAAATGCAAGCATTTTGTTTTCAGTCTCTGTTCAAAGCTCAATCTTCATTTCCGTCCTTTCTGAACAAGGCACAAGGAAAAAGCTAGTACAAAGACCACAGTGGGAGATGCCCCCTTCACTCCTTGGTTCTTCCCAGTCCTGGTCACCAGTTGGGTCTTCCCAATCCTGCCCACCACTTGAGTCTTTCCAATACTGCTCACCACTTGGGTCTTCCCAATCCTGCCCACCACTTGGGTCTTCCCAGTCCTGCCCACCACTTGGGTCTTCCCAGTCCTGCCCACCACTTGGGTCTTCCCAATACTGCCTGCCACTTGGGTCTTCCCAGTCCTGCCTGCCACTTGGGTCTTCCCAATACTGACCACCACTTAGGTCTTCCCAATCCTGCTCACCACTTGGGTCTTCCCAGTCCTGCCCACCACTTGGGTCACCCCTAAACCTCTTGGCCAGGAGGCACTGCCCTTAACTGCCAGCTCTGGACACAGGGAAACTGGGACAGGTGGGAGAGCCCAGGGAAATGGCAGAAGAGCAGAAAAATGGCAACTTTAATTGGAGTTGACAATACTGAAGATCTGGCTGCACTAAACCAATAAGCTGGTGATCACACAAAGACTATCTCAGATTTCAGATTTTCAAGTATAGAGACTACACTTTTCCCCTGACCAAAAAACACAGTCCTGAAGCCTAAGAAAACATTCTCTGACACGTGTTTGCACAGGAAAACTTGAAACATGTTGGAAAGCTTTTCAGAAATGTAAATGGACATGCAGAAGTCTCTGGAGGCTGCCCTTGTCTTACTGGGTTGGCCATAACTTCCCAAAGAGAGGAGCTGCCTGAAGCTGAGCACAGTAAAAACGATACAACGAAACAACACAACCCACGTGGGCGGGGTGCTTACAACTCGGAGAAAGGAAGGGAAGTAAGAGAGGAAACCCCGACTGGCGGGACAGACCTGGCGGGGCGAGGAGCAGTGCAGGAGGCCCCCTGGCCCCGTAAACATCTGATACACCCTGTGAAAGGAGGTTTGTCACTTCTGGCAAAACGTCTGATTTGGAAAGTTTGCCTCAGCCAACGCGTCCGAGTTAAAGCTGGATCTAAATAATGCACACCACGTGTCAGTTACTAGAAACTGTTCACTGAATGTCAGCAAAACGGTCAGTACTGTAAGCACTAAACAGATGGTTTGGGCCTGAGAGCTCCTTTATCTACTAACCCCGTTTATTTCTGCTGATTCGCATGAAGCATAAAAGTAAAGCTCTGTCTTACCTCTTAACTGTCCACGCCACTACCTTGTCCACCCTGCCCCCAAAATAAAAATGAACAAAAAATGTGAGAGATTCAACAGCCCTTGAGGGGGGAGAAGGCTCGTTTGATACGGCTCCAACATTTTAAGGGGAATGAAGGGGAAGAAAACGCAGAAGCCAGTGAAGGGAGACATCGTTCCCCGCGACGTCGGTTCTCAGCGGCGTGCATTTCTGATGGGCTTGTTCCCTCTCGCACCCCGACGGGAGACAGAACATTCACAAGTCTGCTCATTATTACTTCAGCTTTGCAACTGGCCTACCAGAAAGGGGCAGTTGCAGAGGCCCACCAGGTATGAAATCATTTATGCTATCTGGGGAAAATGGGACTGACACAGCGAAATGATTTTTGTGGGGGGAAAAATGATTGTCAGAAGAAACAAATAAATAAGAACTGTGAGGTTTTTTGGTTTTGTTTTCCTAATGACAGCAAGGTGACCTCAATACCATGGTTCGGGGAAGGAAAAGTTGGTCAGCCAAAACCCAAAAGACGTCACAGGCTGTTAAGAACGGTCATACTTGAACCCGAGACTCACTAACTAATGGAATAACCACAGTAAGTTTCTTAACCTCTGTGAGCCTTGGTTTCCCCACCTGTAAAACAGGGAAAATAATACCTGCCCAGTCCCTGGGTGGTGTAAACGGTTAATGTGCCTGGCTGCTAACTGAAAGGTTGGCAGTTCAAGTCCACCTGGAAGTGCCTCAGAGGAAAGGCCTGGCAATCGACTTCCAAAAGTCAGCTGTTGAAAACCCTATGGAGCACAGTTCTACTCTGACATGCATGGGGTCCCCATGAGCTGGAGGTGACTCAAATACAATGAGTTACTAGTATAAGATTATAAAACATTTAACGAAATGTCCTACATGGAGAGGTTAGCCTGGTGCCTAGTACACGAGTGTTCCGTCAACAGCGGTGACGTAATGCCACGGTTCTGCAATTGTTGTGGGCAGGAAACATATGCTCGGCAGAGGGAGCGGGACACAGAGCCTGGGACACAGCGAGGGTCTGATAAACATCAGGGCTTACTCTTGCTCTGACTTTGGACACCGCAGGCGACTAGAGGGAACCAGCATCAGGGAGGAGGGAAGACAGGATGTCCTCCAGGAAAGCCTCGCCGGAAACTCGCACTCTCTACACTGCTCCCTCCAAGCATCCCTGGGTCAGGAACACCTGCTAACAAAATCCCAGATTCTACAGGACAAGCTCAGCCAGCGTAATGAAGACTGAGTAACCGCACTCACGTGCAGGCACACACCCACCCACACTTGTACACATGCTTGCACACAGATGTTTACAGAAAACCATTGCTAGAAAGAGCTTTGAAATGTATTTACTCCTTTGTAGTTCTTCAGAAGACTTCCACCAACATCAAACAAGAAACTGAAATGAAAGAAAGTGAAATAAGCAAATAATGGCTTTCTTTACGGGGGGGGTAGAAAGCTGAAGAGATGGTGGGGGGCAGGGCAGGGCTTTCACACTGCAGGTTGTGACCATTACTGGGGAGAGAGCAGCTTAGCGGGTCTTGAAAAGCATTTTGTTTTAATTAATGAAAAAGAGAAGAGAAGAAAGAAAAACAGAGAAGGGAAGGGTACATACACGTCTAACCACTATGCATTTTTTTAAATTTTATTTGTTTTGTTTTTATTGTTGAGAATATACACAGCAAAACACACACCAATTCAGCCGTTTCTACATGCACCGTTCAGTGACACTATTCCATTCCTCGAGCTGTGCAGCCCTGCTCACCCTCCTTCTCTGAGTTGTTCCTCCTCCATTAACGAAAATTCACCTCCCCCAGGGTTCCTATCTCATCTTTTGAGTTGCTGTTACCAATCTAATTCCATATAGATAGTTCTTAAAAGAGCATAATGTTCAAGACAGACATTTTTTACTACTTAACATAAACGATTGTTTGGTTTTAAGAAGACTTTTAACAGTTTGGTTTAAGGTTTAAAGATTCTCTCAGGGCAATAGTTTCAGGGGTTCATCCAACCTTCATGGCTCCGGGAAGTCTGGAGTCCGTAAGAATTTGAAATTCTGTTCTGCTTTTTCCCCCTTTTGATCAGGATTCTTCTATAGAGTTTTCCATCAAAATGTTCAGTAGTGGTAGCCAGGCACCATCCAGTTCCGGTCTCATGGCAAAGAGGCAGCTGTTCATGGAGGCAATTAGCCACACATGGCACATCTTCCTCCTATTCCTGGCTCTCCTTCTCCCTCTGTTGCTCCAGGTGAATAGAGGCTAATTGTGACCTGGATGGCCGCCTGCAAGCTTTTCAGACCCCTATGCAACAAACTTGGAGGCAGAACCGAAGCACTAAACTAACGTTATTGGGTCAATTAACCGGGATGTCCCATGAAACCATGACCCTAAACCTCCAAACCAAGGAAGCAAATCCCATGAGGTGTTTGGTTGTACATAAGCAGCCTCAGCAGCTACTCTCTTTCGTTGTTGCTGTTGTAAATACATCTACCACACAACTTTGGCCAATTCAACTTTTTACAGGTGTAACTTACTGCCAGCAATTACGATAATCGTCTGTGCAACCCCACTCTTAATCAATGCGGTATTTCCATCACCATTAACCCCCCTCTCCCCCTCCCTCCCGCCCCTGGTAACCGCTAATAAACTTTGTTCTCTATACATTTGCCTTTGCTTGTCTTTTTATGTAAGGGAGGTCATGCAGTATTTGTCTTTTTGTGACTGACTTATTTTTAATGCTCTCCATAGAAGAAGGCATGTGTGGCCGTGTACGCACACCTGCAGTGGCTGAAGCCACTTAGCAACATGATCTGGGCTCCCGAGATTCCCGACTGCACCACCAAACAGCCAAACAGAAAGGAAAGGAAGGCAGGCTGCCGGAGGCGCACACACAAAGGTAGGAAAGGTAAGACGGCTTTGTGAAGTTTTTGTTTCAGTTGTCATGTAAAATTTTACTGCAGGTCGCGATTCGGTGCATAACGCGAGTGCAGAGGACTTGGCTCCAGCACAGACGGTGACCCTGACGCATGGTGCAGTGGAGGGACAACAGAGTCCGTCACCTTCCAGACTGAGGCTACCACTAGGATGGAAAACAAAGTGGCTTCAGTACCGCCTTACCGTTCTCTCAGAGTCGTCACAAGGGATGGAATTAACAAGTGCATGTAAAGCGTCTGCAGCGTGCTGGTGGATGTAGTGCTGCGTGTTGGCTGGTATTAGACTCGTGAAGGTTGAACATACGTCCACTTCTACTAAAACACTTAGACACTTGTTCTGCATCTGAGCTCCTCTGGCCAGAGCACACGCACAGCTAGTGCGACGCTGAGCTCAGAAGGAAAGCCAGCCCTGCACAGGTGTCCTGCTGCCCTGAACTGTGCAACAATGGACAGAATCCTCACCTGTGCAGAGAGGTCAAAGGTGGCTTCAGTCTGGATCCCTCTCACCTTGCTCCCACGGCCCCTCTCGGTCACTGCAAACATCCCGGTGTACTTCTGCTCCTGGAGTTTACCAGACATTGGAAGGGAATTAGCTAGTCACGAGGTCACTCTAACTGCAGGCCTCGCAGACCATCTGGAGTGTTTGTGAGAGCAGCAGAGGGGGTTTGGAGGTGATTATAAAAACGTAGCCTAATGACTGCTAATGTGATCATAATAATGTGACAAATTCAACGCAATATAAAAAGGATAGTCTCAAAATTCCCATTCTGAACAATGTTCTTGCTGACTAATTCTGTTCCTTTTTCTGCGCACACACACATATATGCACACGCATATACAAGCACACACTCACACATCTAACTACTATGGACTTCCAAGGCTCTCCATAGAAGAAGGTGTCTGTGGAGGTGCAGCCATACCTGGAGTGGCTGAAGCCACTTAGCAACATCATCTGGGTTTCCAAGACTCCTGACCGCACCACCGAACAGCCAATCAATTATTTCACACTGGAAACAAGGAAAACCCAAATTATTATCAGCAAGAGTCAACCATTTAGTAACAATTAAAACCAATGGTCAAACTCCAGTCAGCAATCACGCGTTTGGTCCACAGGCTTTACGCAGGTCCCACAAGTGGCAAGGCCCCCACGTCCTTCCCCTCGGCTGCCTCTCTGCAGACATGGCTCACAGGTCATCCTCTGGGAGAGACCACCCCCAACTCCGCAGACGGCCAGTCCTCCATCCTCAGCTCACTCCACCTTCTCAGGATCTAGCTTAGTGCCTGTATGTACCAGACGCGCAACAAAATGCCTGCGCAATGATCTCAGGTGCTGTCCGCAGGCTGCAGGGTGGGTCCTGGGTGAGAAACAGTCCTCAGACACAGCTGACAGAAGAGGCGATGTTGCAACCCGAGGAAGCACTTGTTCTGCTTGGGATGAGACACAGCCCAACGCAGTGCCCTCAGGTCGATTCCGACTCTTGGCAACACCACGCGTTACAGAGTAGAATCACCCCACAGGTCTCCTTGGCTGTAATCTTTATGTAAGCAGATCACCAGCTCTTTCCTCCACAGCACTGCTGGGTGAGTTCAAACTGCCAACCTTTAGGTCAGTAGTCACCTCAACCTATTCCTTAAGTCCAGTTCAGCTACCCACTGGCTGTGGGATCCTGGACAGTGACCCAGTGGCCTCAGTTTCCTTGTCAGACAAATGGAGCGAATGATGGGCACACTCGTTCACACAGCACCCCACACCCAGCACTGTGCTCCGTGCACACAAGCTCACTGATTCTCACAGTAACCCTGTAAAGAAATGGTCATCACCACTGCTTGACAGATGAGGACGCCGAGGTTCAGAGGGGGCAGTGACTCCCCCAGGGCTGCATCCTGAGAATGGGCTGACACCCGACCGTACTCCACAGGGCCGCTACACGCACGCAACAAGAGCCAACTACCGACCACTCTGCCTGGGAGCTCGGGAACACCACAAAGGTGTAGCTGAGGAAGAGGAAGAGGAGGAGGAGGAGGAGGAGGAAGGTGGCTTGAGCAGGGCCATGGGGACAGATCAGAGTGACCGACTGCAAAGAAAAGAGCTGGGCCGTTTGCTGTGTCTGCAGGTCAGCACCCCTCCCCCCACCCCTACCCAGCCACACAACTACAGTCATCCCTGGACGCCCTCTCCCCCAGAATCGGTCCAAGTGGTTTGTGGGTGATGCTGATCCCCACCCTAGCTGTAGGATGAGCCGTGACCCAGAACTGGCCCATCTGCATAATATTGTCCTTGTGGTCACGGCTTCAGGGGTGGACCTGTCATCCAGGTGGATGTACTCAGAGTGGCCGCTGGCACAGAGAGGTATGCCACATGGGGAAGAGCAGCTCCTGTTTCATGCAGTGGACCTGGGGACATGGAGCTCTCGTTTCTGTTGGCAGCATCAGGCCATCACATGAGCTTGGAGACAGGAGCACAGGGGAGAGCAGAGCCGAGAGACAGGGAGACCAGGTCCTGCAGGCCCACACCCGAAGCCTGCCCCACCCTGCACTCTTCAATTACAAGTAGAAAATAAATGCCTTTTTTTCCTTTGCAAGTTTGAATCGGGTATTTTTGTTTTTTTGGCTGCTGCAGTTGAAGGAGACCTAACAGCCACAGCACACCCAGGAAAGACCAAACTGCCTGGGCAAGTGGGAGGGAAAGCATCTCCACACTGCAGAACTCGCTCTCGTCTGAAAACGGCCATCAGCCTCTCGTAAGAACTAGTCCCTGCACCGCACAGGTGTGACCACCTGGCACCAAGTCTGCGCCAGCAGCCCGACCAGCTAACACCCGCTAACATCCCGACAGAGTCCACTGACCACATCCGACACGCGATGTGCTTTCCAGGTGGAGAATCATAAAGTGTGCCACACGCCTGATTACTGGGCACGCTTCCCAACAGAAGCATCCCAGGCGCCGCAAACTGCATTACTGATTCCAACTGGGAAAATGGGACCAATCCTAACAGTATCCTTTCTCCCCCCAAACCACCTTAGAAATCAAGTTAAAAATATGTGTATTTATCTAAAACTAATTTTCCACTTCTAAATCTCTTTGGCAGGTGGCTAATCCCTTCTTCACAATGTATTCCTTTTCTAGATTTTAAATGCTTTCCTCTTCTGTAGCAAGAAAGAAGAAAATCTAGTGTGGCATCCACATTTTGAAGCTTCCCTTCACTGTAGGGTCGCTGTGAGTCGGGAATCGACGCGATGGCAACAGGTTTGGGTTTTTTTTTTGGGTGAAGTTCGCGGGAGCACTGACTGGGTGAGTGAAATCCGCTGGCTTGCACACTAGGCTTCAGAAAACCGCAGAGCGAAGGGAGGCGTCGTCTGTTAAAGTGGGGTGATGTTCCCCCAAGGGCTGGCCAGCACGAGGACAGAAGCCACATTCTCTGAAAAGTAGGTAACCTGACCAAAACGGACCACGTGCAACGGGAGAGCCTGGAGCGTTTACAGCCGGTGGCCTCCGTGAACTGACAGACGCCTCCTGGGAAGGGGGTGGGCTGGGAATGTCCCCCAGCTGAGCCGGAAGGATGGAGCCCAGCTATCAGCTCAGATGGGGTGGTAACCGTCAAGGGGGTGGAAGTAGGGGGATTCAGAGTAGATTCCGAACACAGAGCTGAAGGGTAGGATTTCGGAGAAGGAAAGAACTCCAGGGAAACACCTGGGCCTTTGGCCTAAGTTGCTGGATGGATGGAAGCCCATTAAGTGCAACGGGGAAGCGTGCAGGAGAAGCGGGGAAAGAGGAGACGGCCCCTCACTGGTTCAGGGCAAGGAAGACAGAGAAGCTGACACTGATGGAAAACGAGGCCACAGCAGGAGGCGCGTCCTGGGACAGCACTTCGCTCGCTGCGGTCATCGCTGCCCAGCGCCCCAGCCCTGGAAAACCTCAGGGGACAGGGCACAGAGAGGTCAGTTTGTTCTGAGAGAGGCTAGGGAAGCCGTGGCAAAGAGACAGCAACAAAAAAGGGACGGTAAAGACAACCTAACTCTAGACCTGCGCCCACCGTGTGCTGTTTGTTTGGGAGAGCCCCCCTCCACTTATCTGGAGGAGAAAAGGGACTGCTACTCCCTCAGGGCATCAGTGGTGACAAAGTGGCCCCGAGGGCTGGCAGCAGCCTCTTAGCCAGGGACAAGGAACAGTCAGGACGGGCCAAAGGATGGGCCTCGTCTTAACTTCCAAATGCTGACAGAGAGGAGAGCCCCCCCAGTGGCAGGGAAGCCTGGTCCTCTAAAGCTGGGAATGCAGGTTGGTCTCCCCTCAGTCCACTGAGGGTGCCGCTACCTGGCAGAGCTGGGAAGGGCCCCTCCCAGGGGAGTTACATCCCCACCACTTACAGAGCTCCCACAACATGCCAGGCACGGCACGCAGTTCCTCGTGGGCATTATCGATTTAAATCTGTGCACAGCCTTAGGGAAAGGGCATCAGCAGCGCCATCTTTACAGAAGAGACTATGAAGGACCTTGTCTGTCTTGTGACTGATAAACCCCAGAGGCGGGGCGTGAACCCACATTGTTGTCGCTGTTACTTTGCCACAATGGACCAGAATGTCCACCACGCGGCAGGAGCCTGCTGGCACCGCCCGAGACAGCTAACAGAGCAGCCAGGCAGCAGGCCCCCTGAACGGCCGTCAAGTGCATCCAGGCGCTTCATTCTGAGGGCAAACTGGATACCTTGAGGCACTGGAAGTGTGTTTTGAGGTGACGGGAACCCCAGAAAGGAGAGAGTAAGATGACTCAAATGAGGAAATAAAGCAGCGGAGGGAAGAAGAGGAAGCACGTCACCTTCCTTTCAGCCTTCCAGCTTGCATCCACGTTTTTGGCAGACCTTGGGCTGGTTCCCAAGCTAGAGTGGGGATTCACAGCTGTCGGCACAGAAAGTCTCTTTCCCTGGAACCCCTCGCGCTTTCCCGCCCCCTCACTGTGGGTCACTCTCAGAGCCAGACCCAGCCCGGCCAACACATGGCCGTGTGGGGACAACCCTGTTTGTCCAAAGCACTCAGAGACACCCAGGGCCTCTAGATACACACAGGCCCGGAGGAAGAGAGAAAACGGGCCCAGGGCACAGAGGACTTGGACGGACTAGATGTTCATGCCCCTTCTCAAGCTGACAGCCAGCTCTTATGAAGGTGCAGAGGAGACCTGGCGGGGCCTCGAGCTGCTCTAGGGCAGACTAGGGGACCTGGGGACACCCTGACCAGCCCAGCGGTCACAGGAATCGCTCTCAATGCACTGGTCCGTCTCCCGGACGTCTCCTGAACTACCAACACAAAAGACACCCACAGCCTCCTGGGTGGACTCGAGGACACAATCCACACTTTCCTCTGTTCAGGATTTCCAAGCTTAGGAAAAAAATTCCCAGCAATTACCGATGTAGTGGGAGGCACAGAGGGGTAGTAATAATAATGCATTTTGATCCTACATTATTCCTGTTCTGTAACCCTTTCTCATTCATCTATAATCATGCATTGCACACCTACCATGTACCAAGACTGCAGAGGGGAGAACCTTCAGGGAATTTTCCCTCTAGTGGAGTAAGAGGCATAAGTGATCAATCACACGAATAAGTATATGAATTCAAAATCGGGTCTGGGCCATGAGGGAAACTGTAAGGTGCAAAGACAGATGACAGGGAGCAGATGGGGTCTACACTGCAGGTTTGGGGGAGGCTTCCCAGAGGGAAGGACACTTGAGCTGGGACCTGAAGAACAAGCAGGTGTCAGAGTCAGGCAGGTGAAGGAGGAGAAATGGTCGAGCCCAGGTGTGGGGGCAAGAGGGGTCCAAGGAGGGTAAGAAGAACCCAAAGGCCAGAACGGGAGGAGGTCCTGGGGAGGAGCCGACAGTGGGACAGTGTGTGTCTGGAGAGGTGCACAGGGCCAGACCACACAGGGACCCGGGGGCCACATCGAGGACTGGGGGTTCTTGTAAAGCACATCAGGAAGTTATAGAGGGGTTTTAGGCAGGGGAGTGATGTGATCAGAGAAGCGTTTGAAAAACCTTAAATCTACTCAAATTTTCTTCTAGGATACTCAGAAGTAAAACCTTTCTTTTTTTTTAACTTCTTATTATGGAAATTTTCAAACAAAATAGAAGACTATAATGAACTCAGTGATGACCAACTCAGAGGCCGTGCTGCTTCGTCGAGAACCCCACCCCCTTACCCCTCCTATAACCAGTAACCAGCTGCTATCAGGTCAGTTCTGACACACGGTGACCCTACATGTGTCAGAGGAGGACTGTGCTCCATGAGGTTTCAAAGGCTGATTTTTTGGAAGTCACCAGGCCTTTCTTCCAAGGAGCCTCTGAGTGAATTCTAACCTCCAACCTTTCAGTTAGCAGCTGAGCGCACTAACCATTTGCACCACCCAGGGACTCCGCCCTTCCTACAGCCCCTAGTTATGCTGAAGTTCATCCCAGTCGTCACACCACTCCACCCCTGAACACTTCACTATGTGTCTACAAAAGATGTTGTTGTTAGGTGCCGTGGAGTCGGTTCCAACTCATAGTGACCCTACAGGACAGAGCAGAACTGCCCCACAGGGTTTCCAAGGAGTGAGCGGTGGATTCGAACTGCTGACCTTTCAGTTGGCAGCCGAGCTCTTAACCACTATGCCACCAGGGCTCCACTCATAAAAGATAAGGATTCTTTTTTTAAACATAACCATAAAGCCATTAGCCTACCTAAAAATACAACAATCATTCCTTAATACCACCGAAAGTCCAATGTTGAAATTTCTCCAACTGACCCATAATTTTTCTTTACAGTTTGTTGTTTGAACAATGGATCTAAATAAGGTCCATGTGTTGCAAATGGCTGAAATGTTTACGTTTTAAACCACGGGCTCCCCCTCCCTCATTTACTCAAACATTCACTGAGCAGCTCTGTGCACCACGCCTGGTGCAAGACCCAGGAGACAGAGGTGAGGGCTCCCATCCGGAGAGCTGGCACACCCAGCACACCCAGCAAAGGTGTCCCCACAGTCACAATGCACCAGAGATCTGCCAAAGAGAAGGAGGGAGGTGGGGCAACACAGCACTAGCACAAGTGACTGGAGATATGGGTGAGACCAGGAGAGGGGACGTATGTGTCACATCTTAGCTGCACTATTCTCTCTGCAAGCCACAGTCAACCTTTCCAGGAGGAAAAAGAGCCTGCCCAGCTAAAAACACAGGGAGGCCAGCGTCTCCCGAAGGACCTGACTGTGGGCACTGTCAAACATTTATTTATTTTAAATTTTACTCACAGAAAAAGTTTACACCACAAAACAAAAGAACTAGATCTTGGACTCACCACTGATTGACCTGGCTTCCTGTGCTACCATTTATTCTTCATGTTCTAGCTATCATTTCTGCCCTTTGGGGACATTAGGACACAATGTCTGGATGCAGAGACTTATTTTGCGGCCCAGTGGCGGCCAGGGAATGAGAGAAGGTGTGTGCAGCGCCACACGGATGGCCCCTTGCTGGGAGACCTGAGGCTCCTTGAGGAGACGTGTCAGTCACGTCCACCTGAGCGAGGAAGCTAGTCCACTCACCATCCTTGCTGACCTGGGACACGCAAAGCAGGACCACAGTGAGACGTCATTTCATACCCATTTGATCAGCAAAAATGAAGAAGTCCAACAACAGCCCATGGGGGAGAGACTGTGAATCCACGAGATTCTCTTCCATGCTTTTGGTGAGAATCTGCATTGATACAACTTTAGAGTACAGATTGACATGACCCATTAAACACAGGCCTTCTTTTATCCCATGACTAGCAGTCCTGTTTTTGTTTAAATACCTAAAGGAAAATGTCACACATGTTCAACATCAGACATGGCCAAGAACAGTCACGGCGGCACTTTCTACATTAGCAATTTCCTGGAAACGACATGGGAAAGTGGATGAATAAATGCTGTGGTATATTTACATACAGGAATGTTATACAGCAGCCAAAAACGAATCTGTATCATTGTCAAAATGACAAAACTAGAAAGACAGAGAGCAGACTGGTGGTTGCCAGAGGACAGGGTAGGGCTAGATGTCAGAGGACAGGGTAGGGCTAGATGTCAGAGGATAGGGTAGGGCTAGATGCCGGAGGACATGGTAGGGCTAGATGTTGGAGGACAGGGTAGGACTAGATGTCGGAGGACAGGGTAGGGCTCGATGTCAGAGGACAGGGTAGGGCTAGATGCTGGAGGACAGGGTAGGGCTCGATGTCGGAGGACAGGGTAGGGCTAGATGCCAGAGGACAGGGTAGGGCTCGATGTCGGAGGACAGGGTAGGGCTAGATGCTAGAGGACAGGGTAGGGCTTGATGTCACAGACAGGGTAGGACTAGATGCCAGAGGACAGGGTAGGGCTAGATGTCACAGGACAGGGTAGGGCTTGATGTTACAGGACAGGGTAGGGCTAGATGTCGGAGGACAGGGTAGGGCTAGATGTCAGAGGACAGGGTAGGGCTTGATGTCACAGGACAGGGTAGGGCTAGATGCCAGACGACAGGGTAGGGTTCGATGTCAGAGGACAGGGTAGGGCTAGATGTCGGAGGACAGGGTAAGGCTCGATGTCACAGGACAGGGTAGGGCTAGATGCCAGAGGACAGGGTAGGGCTCGATGTCGGAGGACAGGGTAGGGCTAGATGCTAGAGGACAGGGTAGGGCTCAATGTCACAGGACAGGGTAGGGCTAGATGCCAGAGGACAGGGTAGGGCTAGATGTCACAGGACAGGGTAGGGCTAGATGTCGGAGGACAGGGTAGGACTAGATGTCGGAGGACAGGGTAGGGCTCAGTGTCACAGGACACGGTAGGGCTAGATGTCAGAGGACAGGGTAGGGCTTGATGTCAGAGGACAGGGTAGGGCTAGATGCCAGACGACAGGGTAGGGCTAGATGTCAGACGACAGGGTAGGGCTCAATGTCGGAGAACAGGGTAGGGCTAGATGTCGGAGGACAGGGTAAGGCTCGATGTCACAAGACAGGGTAGGGCTCGATGTCGGAGGACAGGTTAGGGCTCGATGTCACAGGACACGGTAGGGCTAGATGCCAGAGGACAGGGTAGGGCTCGATGTCACAGGACACGGTAGGGCTAGATGTCAGAGGACAGGGTAGGGCTCGATGTCACAGGACAGGGTAGGGCTCGATGTCCGAGGACAGGGTAGGGCTAGATGTCAGAGGACAGGGTAGGGCGCGATGTCACAGGACAGGGTAGGGTTAGATGCCGGAGGACAGGGTAGGGCTAGATGCCGGAGGACAGGGTAGGACTAGATGTCGGAGGACAGGGTAGGGCTCGATGTCACAGGACACGGTAGGGCTAGATGTCAGAGGACAGGGTAGGGCTTGATGTCACAGGACAGGGTAGGGCTAGATGCCAGACGACAGGGTAGGGCTAGATGTCAGAGGACAGGGTAGGGCTAGATGTCAGGGACAGGGTAGGGCTAGATGTCAGAGGACAGTGTAGGACTGGATGCCAGAGGACACGGTAGGACTGGATGTCAGAGGAGAAGGTAGGGCTAGATGTCAGAGGACAGGGTAGGGCTAGATGTCAGAGGACAGGGTAGGGCTAGATGCCAGAGGACACAGTAGGGCTAGATGCCAGAGGACAGGGTAGGACTGGATGTCAGAGGACAGGGTAGGACTAGATGCGACTACAGAGGGGTAACATGAGGGAGTTCATGATGATGACACAGTTCTCTGGACTGTGGTGGTGATCACACAAATCCATACGTGGGGTTGAGCTGCACAGAACTATACACATACACAACTGAGTGCGTGTAAAACTAGTGAAATCTAAATAAGTTCTGCAGTCTAGTTAACAGTACTGTATCAACGTCAACTTCCTGGTGGCACAGTGGTTAAAGCACTCAGCTGCTAACCAAAAGGTCGGCAGTTCAAACCCACAAGCCTCTCCATGAGAAAAAGGTGTGGCAGTCTGCTTCCATAAAGACTGAAGCCTAGGAAACCCTATGGGGCTGTTCTACTCTGTCCTACAGGGTCGCTATGAGTCAGAATTGACTCCACACCAATGGGTCTGGTTTTTGGTTTACAGCTACATAAGATGTCACCATTGAGGGAAGACGGGTGAAGAGTTCACAGAACTCTATGTACTATTTTTACAACTTCCTGTAAGTATTATAACTTCAGAATTAAAAGTGTTTTTAATTGAAAGCTGAATGAGTACAGTGATATGCAATGATATGGATCAATCTTAGCAATAATATTTATGTGTAAAAAAGTAAATTCCAAATGATTATGATGCCCTTTTATAAAATGAAAATAATCAAGTACCACAAATGCAGTAACACTCGATATAAAGAAAAGCAAAGGAAAACAACTACAGGACTGAGTGCAGTGGTCAGAGGGGAAGTCAGGTGGGTGGCTGTGGGGTGCACCAGTTTACATCCATTCCAGTAAGCACGAGGATCTCTCACGGGTTACATTTTTATTCCTTGCCGTTCAAACGCAAGCATCAGTTCATGAAGAGTGGGGGTCCCAGTGCCTCTCACCTTCACTCCAGTGGCCATGTCAGCTATGGAGAGGACTTCTCCTATGACAAGGCTCCAACTGACAAAATTCTTCGTTTTCTCTGCCTGAAAGCATGACAGAACCAATGTCAAGTTTTCCTTATGGTTTTCTGACCTTTTAAATTTTTTATAATAAGCATATATTACTCTTATAATAAAAATTCAACACAATAAAAGCAGTTTTATAATTAAGAAATGATCCCATCACTGTACTGAAGTAAACCTTTTCATATTTTTTAATGTAGCTTCTGACCTTTGACCACATACACCAACCAGTTCCCATCGAGTCGACTCTGATTTATGGTGATACCAAGTGTGTCAGAGTAGAACTTGCCCCATAGGGTTTTCAATGGCTGATTTTTCAGAAGTAGATCACCAGGCCTTCCTTCTGAGGAGCCTCTGGGTGACCGCGAACCTCGAACCTTTCGGTTAGCAGCTGGGCGCATTAAAACTGCTTGCGCCACCCAAGAACTCCACATATACATGGTGTTTAAATACTCTTTCTATTGTATACAATAGAAAACCAACCGCTCAGGCCTTGCTTTGCCTTAACCAGGTCTGTCCCTCACAGCTGCCCCACGTTCCCTTAGCAGGCCCGACACCTCACGGTTCTGCCCAGCTCTGCTGACACGTGCCACTGGCCTGCAGCCTGCCCACACTGACGCTCTAACCAACAGGGAACAGCTTCCGTCCGGGCAACAATCTTGCCTTGAGGACAGAGGACTGGGAGGGCTTGGGAACACTCCGGACATAGGAAAAGCACCATTACTCTTCCGTTTGCTTTCTAATCAGAGTCCAGCTCAGGCTTTGGTTATTGAAAAACCACGAGGTCCAGGCCCCTCTTTATTCTCTCTTCTTACTCACTGTACACACAGCAACAATCCCAAAGCTACATGAGCAGATTCTTCTTCACCAGCAAGAAATAAGACAGGGCGAACACACTGCTGCTGTTTTATTTTTAAAATGCAGAGGCAGCTGGCATTTCCTCAGAAGGTGGTGCGCCGTTAGCAGGCAAATTACAACGATCCGCCGTCAGAATTAATGCTCGTCTTCCCATACACCAGTGTCCTCTGAGATCCAATCAAAGAAAACTGGTGCTTGTGTGTGAGGGAGTGTGCGCGTGTGTCTGAGTGTGGTGTGTGTGTGTGTGTGTGCATGTGTGAGTGGTGTGTGTGTGTGCATATGTGTGTGTGTGCGTGTGTTGTGAGTGTGCATGTGTTGTGTGTGCGTGCATGTGTGTGCGTGTGTCATGTGTGAATGTGACAGTGTGTGTGTGTGTGTATGTGTGTGTGTAAACCACCCATCCAGCAGCCAGGATGATAACCAACCTGTCCTTGGACAGCTCTCCACTTTCCACATGGGCTTAACCTTTCTCTCTGCAAACACTGTCTTTCTTTCCCGTAGGTTTTTACAATGTTCCTTGTTGAACAGTAGACTGTCAAGATTTATGACTCTTATCATGGCTCCAACCCAATGCATCTTGCACTGATTATTTCTTAAAATATCTCCAAGCTTGAGCATAAACCATCGTGTGGCTCAGCTTCAGCTTACACTGGAGAGCTAGTTACTAGCAAATAATAAAAAACAACTGTAGCAGACATCTGCAGAATTTTCAGAGGGCCTGTGTGTCCTCTGTCACATGGGTTCTCCCAACAATCTTCCATGTGACGCTAAGCAGGACAGGAATTACTGACCCGATGCAACAGATGAAAAAGCCCGGACTCAGGGAAGTCAAGGACTAATCCAACCAGGGCCACCCGGGGCTAGTCAGTGGCAGAGCAAGGACCAGAAATCAGGTCTTCGGATTCCTCATCTAGAGGTCCTGCCGCCATCCCTCACTGCCCCTCGTCAGTGAGCTGGAAGAAACCCAAGACTCTGGACAGCCGAGCCTTCAGCACAGTCTTCTCCTGCCGTGCACCACCAGCCTCGTACCCCAAGAGCCCGTCAGCAACACATCATAGTGCACCTGGGTCTCTCCACAAGCGTCGCCCCACTCACATCATCATGACAAACTCCTCACCTTCAGTCGCCTGATCTGCTTTGGCCAAAGCTAAGCTATCAAGAATAAGTAAATCTCTCAGAATTTCCAACTGTCAATAGTTTTCTTCATATTTCATTCTCTTCATTGATACTGTCCATGCAGGAGTATAACCTTGTCATTAGTGGTATCCAACTGTGGTTATTTTGACTCAACAGTTTGAAATAAACTGCAAGAATCAACTCCAAATGTGGCCGTCTTGGAGCATTGTAAATTGTTTGTGACTCACTTCCCTTCCCCAGTCTCTGCACAAGACAGCCATCTTTGCTATTGGAGCCGATGGCAATGTCAACAGGGGTTTGCCATTAATTCTCTGATGTTGCTTTAAGCACATATTCAGACTGGTCCATTTCAAAAAGTCAAACAAAAGTTCTAGAACTGGGATTGGGCTTAAATTTTGATTGGCTACTCACTGGCATATATTTTTAACATCTTCTCCACATATAAATTCTCTTCTCTTCAATTCTTCTTTCATTTCTGATCAGTTAATTGCTCTTGGTTAAGGAAAGTCTAATATTGACGGGTTTCTCCTTTCATTGAATTGGCCGCACTAACTAAATTAGCCTACACTGATAACTGTTCGATCAACAGTCAACACGTATTTTTCTGCATACATTTTTGCAGCATTTCTACTGTACCAATAGCTGCATTTATTTAGACTTGATGTATTCAAACCAAACTCAATTCCCATATCAGCACATACATTTGTGGTAATTTCAAATGACAGTCATTCCATTAACACAAGGATAAGATACTTAAGCTTGTATCTTATCCTAAATCATACCCCACCCTATTAGCATTTCTCATTAATAAATTCAGTCTCAAACAGAAGGAAATTTTCCCTAAAATGCACACCCACATCTTTGTAGAGCACTTGATTTAGCAGACTTTGCCACGTAATACTGCTACAAATCAAATTCTGCAAAAGTGTGTATTTTTGTTTGTATAAGCCCAGAAAGTCTCTAAAAGACACATTCTCCTTCAATTAAAATCACCTTGGTGCAGCACTGCTTCGGTGTGTACGGTCTGACCCGCACGGCCCCTATGCAGCCCCTGGGCAGCGCCGGGTGGGTGCCCAGCCAAGGACACTGGGCAAAGGAGATTCCTGATCTTGGTGTCCTAGTATCAGTCCCCAAACTGGCATATTTGCTTCTTCTGTCCTCTGGTTTCCGTTTTCTACTTTGTTATGGCTTCTCAGCTTACTGAATACATGTACTCAATTAGCCTCAAGTTATTTTAGAAAAGAAAGAGGTCAAGGAAAATACACAAACAAATGGGCTTCAAGGATGTAGCTGTCCGGTCCTGCTCTAAGTGAGACTCTTGCCTACTGGGCTGACCAGTCCTGACTCTCCTTCTCAAAGAGACCCCAAGCCTGGCCACCCCTCACATCCCCCACCACCATCTCACGCCTGGACAGTCTCCTCACTCGCCTCCCTGCTTCCACCCCGCCAAACACCAGGCACTGTGGTTCTTTGTGTTGTTGAGGTAAAACGTAAACACGGTGAAGCGCACAGAACTTAAGTGTCCAGGTTCTGATAAAGCATCTCCCTGTGTAACCATCTCCCCAGTCGAGACGTCCAGAACATTCCCCTCCTGCCCTTTACGGCGAGTCCTCACCACCACAGGGACCACGATTCTGTTTTTATCACCACGGGTTAGCTCTGCCTGTCCTTGAGCTTCCGTCACTGGAATCATATCATATGGACTGTTTTGTGTCTGCCTTCTGTCAGTCTGGAGCCCTGGTGGCGTACTGGTTAAGAGCTACGGCGTGCTACAGCTGCTAACCAAGAGGTCAGCAGTTTGAATCCACCAGCCGCTCCTTGGAAACCCTATGGAGCGGTTCTACTCTGTCCTACAAGGTCACTATGAGTCAGAATCAACTAGATGGCAATGGGTTTGTTTTTTTATTTTGGTCTGTCAGTCTGTTGTACTTCGGTGGCCTGCACGTTGCTGTGTGTAAGCTCTGCTACCGGTATTTCAAATACCAACATGGTCACCCATGGTGGACAGGTTTCAGCAGATCTTCCAGACTAAGACACACTAGGGAGAAAGGCCTGGCAATCTACTTTCAAAAATTATCCAATGAAACCCTTATGGATCACGGCAAATACTGTCCAGTGAGACGGATTGGCACAAGAGCCGTAACGATGGCCTCAAACATGCCGGCCCCAGTGAGGGAGATAGGAACGGGCAGCATTTTGTTCTGTTGTACATGAGGTCACCATGAGGTGGAATCAACTCAACAGCAGCCATCTATCTGTTTACCTGTCTATCTATACCTTTCATGCAAATAAGACACCTATGTTGTATATATCGACAGTTCACTCTTTTTTATGACCAAGTAGTATTCCGTCTATAAGTATTCTGTAATTTGTCTACTCTCTTATTAATAAACGTTTGAATTGTTTCTAATTGGGGCCGATTATGAGTAAAGCTAGTATAAATATTTGTGTACAACTCTTTTTGTGGACATAAGCTTTCATTTCTCTTTAGTAAATACTTAGAAATGCAATCGCTGGGCTAAAGGGTAAGTTTATGTTTAATTTTGTAAAGAAACTGCCAAAAAGTTTTTCAAAAGGGTGGTACGGTTTTACACTTTCACCAACAATGTATGAGAGTTCTAGGATCTCCACACCCTTGCCAATATCTCATATTGTCAGTCTAATTTCTAGCTATTTTGGAGGAAGTGTAATTGTATCTCATTTTGGTTTAAATATGCATTTCTCAGATGACTAAAAATGTTGAGCACATTTTCATATGCTCATTGGCCATTTGTGTAATTTTATGAATTGACAGTTCAAATCTTTTGCCATTTTTTAAATTATGTTGTTCGTCTTTTTATCATTGAGCTGCAGGAATTCTTTATATATTCTGGATCAAATCCTCTGAAAAAGGATACAAGTTTTTATCAGATACATGCACTGCAGAAATTTTGTTCTTGTTTGTGGATCGCCTTGTTAGTCTCTTAATGCTGTCTTTTGATAAACAGCAGTTCTTCATTTTGGTGAAGACCAATTATCAGGTTTTC